CGGGTGGAGAGGGAGGTGGGAGGGGGGACTGGGATGGGGAATACATGTAAATCCATGGCTAATTCATTTCAATGTATGACAAAAACTACTGTAATTATGTAAAGTAATTAGCCTCCAACTAATAAAAATAAATGGAAAAAAAAAAAAAACCAATGTGTCAGTCAGTTATCCTTAAATATTGGTGGTTTGACTGGGAATGGAACAGGGCATCTAGGACTGTCAATAAATCATATTCCTGACACATTACATCAGATAATTATGCAAATATTTCAGTTAATTGAAACCATCCTCACTTGCAAAAAAGTTACTATTCCACTACTATTTCATTTTTCCTTCCTCACCTTTGCTAACATTTATACAATTGCCAGGCAAACAACAAACACAAACAAATAAGCACACTGTGCAGTGGCTAAGACACAAATTATCATTGCTTCTACTCCTTGAACAAAAATGAATCCTGTCTCATAGACATCAAACACAAAATAGGATTGGATTCTGAATTGTCTTTATATTGTACATCTGAATATTTCTCTCACCTAAAATGTGAATGCACAGTAGTTCATTAAAGATTCTTATTTTTACCTCCTGCTAAAAAAAGCTAAATGGCACCTTCCTGCCTCCCAAATCAAGGTATGTTCTCACTGTTCCTTCAAGGATGTCTGAGGACACACATACATTCAGCCCATAAGCACTTCCCATTGCTCCCCACAGGCTCCTGAGATCTTTGGTTCATTGGCCACATTATTCCCTTCCTCTCTCTGTGTCCTGGAAAAACTCTATCTCTACTCTGCTATCCAAATCCTATCAGAATTAAATTATCTATAGAGTTTTGAAGTATCATTCCAATCTATCAGAAAGCTATCTTTGCCTTAAATCCTATACTACTTTTAATTTTTAAAAGAGTTTAACACTTAGTATGTTTTTCATCTTTCCCCATGAGTTCTTTAAGGCTAGGGACATGCTTTTGTTTGTTTGTTTGTTTAAAGCATTTTTTAAAAAATGCTTTTAAAAAATTAAAGCATTTTTAATTTCTTAGTGGGTTAATATTTCTAGGGTTGTAGTAAAGAGTCAACAGATACTTTAATTAATTTAATATCAGGGAACAAAAGTTGAGCTGACCAATTTAGCCCTGAATATCCCAGAAAGAGAAGGTTCTTGCAAATGTGTTTATTGGTGGAGAATTACCCCTCCAAGTCAAGTCTTCAAATACAATAGAAATTGTGATATTCGCAGCAACTAAATCTCATTCATTTATTTGGTTCTCTGACTACTGCTGAAAAAACACATATTCTATCAATTTTTAGAGGACTTATTCTACTTGGAAATTCAATATACACTTTCAAAATCAATTGTCTCTTAAAAAACCAACCCCCTTATTTTGTAAAATTATCTGGAAGAAATCAAGGTTTACTTGTGTTAGGTAGTTACAATAGGAAAAAAGGAGTACAAAATGGCAGTGGCTAAAAGACAAAGAAGGGAAAAGCCCACGAAAGTAGAACAAAGGAAGATCTGAGGACCAGATTGAGGACTTCAGGTAAACAAAACAGTCCTCCTGGATAGCCCAATTTACATACAGCCGGCTCAGGGGGAGGGGAAAAAATATAAAAAGAGGAACCAAAATTGAGCCGGGGGCTTC